CCACCTCTCCCCCCGGAACATTACCATTAATGTTAGTTTGGGGATGACGAATCCAACATTGAATGGGGGAAAGGGGGGGGGGGGAGTGGAATACAATTTGGTTAATGCAATTTCATTATGATATTAATTAGTTTTATTAACAGTTTTGTCCACGATTGCTGGTAAAACACTCGCACTCGTTTGTGAAATACTAGTTATAGCTGTATGTCAGTTACGATATTGTTTTGCTACACCTTCTTTTATATATTCAGCTGCTGTTGACTTTAATACGGAGATATATAAAATTTTGCACCATTACTGGCATTAGAATGATTAATTAAAACGTTTTATAACTTTTTTAGTTTTCCACTTTCATGGCCGAGGAGTTTGTATTTCGATGTCCACTTCATATTTCACAATTTAATGCATCGCGAAACGTGCTACGCTCTACAGGATTTGTTATGATTGCGAACCTGTGACTGTGTATTAAAAGTTGGGCTACATTTTACTGGTATTTTCGGCGAAAGAAACAGATGGTTTAATCTTCGCTTACATGGCCAAGAGTAAGACCAGTTATACAGTTAGTCATGTATCTGTTCGAACCAGCATGCTTCTTTTTATTCGCCCAAGGCCAAGAATTACATTATAAGTCCAGTAAACGAATGACTTAGGTTCGACAAAATTCGTAACAAAGCCCATTCACCTTAAATCTGTTTATATGCGTCCAAATAGTACACACATAAAAATCCACCCGAATCCGACCATGGCAACCTCTTTATTTCGACCATCGAAAATCCAAGATGGCCGCCAAATCCAAGATGGCCGCCATTTTTGAACAAAAAACAAAATAAAACAGTTACACAATTACACTTGGTGGAGTTAAGCCTCTAGGCATGTTTATTGCCTATCAGTACATGTAAAACCGGCATTGAATCGAAATCTGTGCTTGCAAATCATATTTTTTTTTAAAGTTGTTAAATCCAAGATGGCCGCCAAATCCAAGATGGCCGCCAAATCCAAGATGGCCGCCAAATCCAAGATGGCCGCCAAATCCAAGATGGCCGCCAAATCCAAGATGGCCGCCGTCAAGCTTATTTAGATATTTAGATATGTATTAGGCACCATTTTCCACAGAAAAGCAAATAAATTCCAAATACTAGATACTTAAATTATTTAACATTATTTTCATGCGTAAAATCTTTTTATAAAAGCAATAAAACCCATTTACAAGGGGGCAGCTCTTCGTATAAAAAAGGACCGTAAAAGACACTGGAAATGATTTTTATTGCTTAACTAAAATGTGTTTCTTGCGGGCTTTATAAAAGTTAGCCAGTGTATCATACCGCAGCTCTTCCTTGACGAAACACATTCCCTTTTTTTCTTTCAGATGGGGCAAAATTTGATATGTTTGCAATACTCGTAATTCTACTTATAAATCTAGAAGAAATTAAAGTTCACGTCAGATATCGTCATCAGCAGCAGCATCCAAATCCTCACGATCGTCTCGCGGAGAGTTTAGGCACGCAATGCCCTTACATTGGCCGCACGCTGGAGTGCACTGAAGACCGTTTATGAAGCAGGTGCAAGATCGTGTATCACATCTACCTCCACAATTACATCTTATGTTTCGCAGGAGCTGCATGCGCTGGGGCTGCTGGCTCTGACATCTGCACAGGAACAAGGCCTGTTGAGGATCTCGCCCATCCCCACTCCTCAGGAGGAATATCGTTCCCTTTCCATGCTTGTACCTGGAGAAAGACACTTGTGACTGTGAAATCGGGCAGCGTCTAATGTCGGCGGAAGCTTCTCTGGTGGTACATATCCAGCTGCTGTGGCCACTTTCGTTTGAAATCTTTGGGGCCTTGCAGTTTTCAAATCATCTACTTGGCTTCCATACATGATGAGTAGGGCTCTTTCGCCAGCTGTTTCTAGGGCCACTTTTGAAGACTCGCTTGCCATAAACGTTGCAGCACTTTCTGCCAGGGCAGCATATTTCTTCAGATCCCCCACTTTCCCGATTCCATGTGGCCTTGAGGTCGTATCACAGCCGCTAACATCATGGAGAAAAAGAAGTGACTCTGACAGCTTAACATCCACTCTGCGCTTGATGGTGCTAGCGCAGACAGTTCGTTTTGCAGCGACCATGTATACATCACTAGCAGCAGGATCTGTGTGGTGAACTAGCAACTGGAATACATCAGAGTCTTCTGCAACGACAGCTACTGGACTTCCTAAGGCACACGCACAAGCCCTCTGACAAATCTTGTAGTCTGCATCTCCTGTGGCGTGCTCAACATGGATTCCAGCTCGACCCATTTCGTCAGCGAGGAGGTAGATGAGGGCCTATTTGTTGGAGGAATTGCCAAGGAAAGCTTTCTTAGACATCGTCAGGCGCATTTCTTTGGTAACGGACACTGTTGCGCGAACGTCGTTGCTTGATCGACGTCGATGTGCTTCGTCTTATGCACTGGGGCCATGATATCCATCAAAAACCACCGTGGCATTGGCGTAGCTGCTACTC